TGAAGCTATTCCTCACTTGATAAAATAAGAAACCTACTTTTTTAATGAAAAATATGGATATACAATCATGAAAACACATGCATGAACCATTATAAAAAAGATACTTGAAAAATTCATGAGTCCTTAAGTCATTTTCAACTTGATATGTATATATATAGCAAATGTCCCTTACCCTTATCTCTTGTTTTTGTCACTGTATATGCATGTGAACATGCTAAACTCACCCTAAATATGAAGAAAATAATGAAATATGCTGAAATATCCTACATCAAGTAAACATAGTCATACAAAATCAAAATAATTTAAGAACTAAATAATTAAATTGTAAATTTATATATTAAGTCAAATAAAATAATTTAAAGTTTTACATATATTAAACTTATTGATTTCAATCTAAAAGATTTGAATTCAAATTAATTTTAAATTAAATTGATTCGATTTAAAATTATTTAACTTTAAAATGATTATAATTTTTCTTTGACTTGAATTCAAAAATAATTTTGATTTTTTTCTGATAAAAATGATTTAACGTGAAAATGAATATAAATTTAAATTAATCTGATTTGTTAATTGATGCATCTAGTTACACCATCTTAATTATCAATTACTATAATTTATTTTTTTTAAAATTTACTATTCCCTCTATCTTATTTGGTTTGTCCACCTTTATTTTTTAGGATATTCCTGTTCAATTGCATGCCAGCTCTCACCAAGAATCGTGGTCTTACACTTGTGATGCGTAATGCCATGTCCCTTAAAACATCATGCAGCTCCACTCGACCTCCACCTTTATAAACTATTTTCTATCAAACAACTGCTTTTGAGTTCATCCAGTATGTACGCCCCTTGTCAATCTCTTGTTACATGCTATCCATTTCTTTTATATGCCCTTCCGCAATACAAAGATGGATAAGCTCATCTGTCTCTATTCCCATCTTCAGGAAGTAAGGCACAGCAGAGAAGCAATTTTTCAGCTCTCATCACCGAAACGATCATAGGTGAACTGAAGTTTTTGGAAATACCTCTCTTCCATCTTTTTCCACAGTTTCCTCCATTTCCTTTTAATTCATGAAGTGCATCCCTCCAACGCATGAACCATCACGTACACCATCCATACTGCTGCTATTGTAACAATAGCCAAGGGCAAACCATCACATTCTGTGCAACTGTTTCCATAATGGGTAATAGATTTGGATGATTCGAAATATGCTCACCTACTTTGTCAAGAACAAGCTCCATGCATCTGGATTTGAAAGAGTAGGCACTCTAAACTTCTCGACAATCCAAATACTGGCACACATCTAATAACCGAGTTGTTACCAATAATTTACTCCCATTAGAAGCTCAGGGATGCCTACTTCTTCAAGAGAAAGTTTTGCCACAAATCATCTAGGATTAACACATACTTGCCTTTACGAACCAACATTTCGTATATCATCCCTGGTCGTATTGTTTCATCTTCATCTTCATCAAGGGATACTTTCATTGCACGTGCAATCCTATTTTGCAGTTTAATGATATTCATCTCCTTTGATACAGTGATCCATATCACAATGTCAAACCTTTCAGTCTCTTTCAGTAGCTGGTTGTGTACGAGCTTCACGATGGTTGTTTTCCCTATTCCTTCCGTCCCCAAAACTCCAATCTTTTGAATGTCATCATCATCAAGAAGGCCCAAATTTTTTCCATACAAGTCTTTGCAGCATCACCGAATAAAGTTGTGGTTGATAGAGCTTGTCCAATCCACCCAGGGTTGTCAACTACCAAACTGTTGTGAAACTTACCCCGTTGATAAAGTTCATCAACTTCTTGTATCTTCTTCAAAACATTTCCTTTGAGGAATCCACGTGAGGCAAAACTATTTTCTCCAATTTTTTGTTCAAGGGTCTTCGATTTCGCCATTTATTCTTTCAACGTTCTCGAGCCATAACTCAACTTCTTTCTTAGTTTCTTTCTCGGATGCAGCTCTGCTGTCGTTCTTGACTTCGTGTCTCCTTTTAGAGCATTTAGTTCCGCCTGTTTTCTCTTTAGGTCTTTCATTTTCTCATCAAGTTTGTTGGAGTGTCCCACGATTCATCAAATTTAGTAAGGAAAAAATCCATGGCTGTAAAGTCCATATAAAAAACAAATATGTATATCATAAACCATTTTGATGGACTTTATAACCATAACCATGTAAATATTATAGATGCAGTAAATTTCTGAGGAGCATATTTTAATTACATTCTGGTCCTGATCTTCCTTTCAAAGGCAATAATATTTCTTTAACTTATATCACCAAAGCACAGTTCTCAAGAATTAAAAAGTTAGAACCTTGGTCTTGAAATTCAGTAAGCTGTTCATTACTGTTTTCAATTGAAGGCTTTTAATATTACCATTACCAAAACCTAAAGCCAAGTGATTAATTTCAACACATTTTCTAAGATATTTTTTTAATCTGATTGCATGATCATAACACTCATGTTTGTAACGAATCACAAAATTAACAAATTTAAAATGAAAATCATTAAATAAAGAATTGTAAAAAGCCAATTTTAGTAGTGAAAGAGGAAAAGGAATAACATTATGAAACAGAAAAAGAGAAAACAAAGTCATGACAAGCATGAAAAGAAACAGAATACCGAAATTAAATTTCCTACCTTGAGCAACTAGACTGCCTGATGCTTCTGCAAGACCTTGAATTGAAAAGAACAAAAACAAGCAGTGAAGAAAAGAGAAGAACCCCGGTAGAAGCAGTGTATTGAGCAAAGAAACAGCGAATCAATTCCTGGTAGAAGGCTGTGTAAATCTGTGTTAGCAACTTGATTGATATTCATTCAAGGAAACAAGATGAGGGTGGGATTTCGGAAGAAGAAAAGAAAGTGCCTAGGAAAGTGCAATGAGAAAACAAGAGTGCAAATGAACCAAAATTATGAGTCAAATTGTTATGGTCTTGGTGCCACTTTCACGTGGGTGCCATGGGGAATGACTAAAGCAAATTATGAGTCACTTGTCATGATCATGGTGCCACTGTCATGGTGGGTGCCATAGTGCATGATTAAAGCAAAATTATCCTTCGTTTATATTTATGGCGTGGCATTTTGTTTTAACACGACAGATCATCCACGACCAATGATAAAACAGAACAACTATTAATAGGTTTTCTGCTGTAAAAGTGCAATACTTCGGCCTAAATGATAGTTGTATTAGATTATTATTAAATTTTATTAATTTATTAAAAAATTAATTACTAAAAAAAGTAATATATGCATTTTAAGAAAAAAATTTAATTATCGTAAAATAAAAAAAAATTCTTCTTCTTTATTTTACTTAACATTGTAGGCATTCATTTTGGTTCGAATTCAATTGAGTCTATTTTGGTCTAGGTTCAATTGGATCCATTTTAATCTGAACCCCATTGAATCCATTCTAGCCCGTGCTTAATTAGATCCATCTTGGTTTGGGCTCGGCTAAATCTATTTTCAAAATTGAGCCTGACCAGGCCCATTTTTGGTAAGCCTGTGTGGGTTGGGCCCATCAAGACCCATATTAGTCCAAAAGGATGTGTTTTATTATTATTATTATTATTATTATTATTATTATTATTATTATTATTATTATTAGTTTTTTCTTTCTTTCTTTTTTCTTCATCAATTTCCATTTACGATGGTCCACATGTGAATTAGAATCACAAAATTCTTGGAAGTCAACACAGAATCAAATTGGACTACTGAAATCTTAGAATTAAATCTCAGACAAAATGCAATCCTAAGGAATCAAGCCTGGGATTGATTCTGTCAATTTCTTGAAATTAACCCTAAGAACACCTATAAATTGGACTAATTTTTTACAAAAAAACACACGAAAGGGAGGAAAAGAGAAAGGAAAAAAAAAAACTTCAGGGAAATTTTGGGAATTTTGGCAAAAGAAGGTCATGGGGATTTTGAGAATTGAGATAGGGTTGATTTAGAGTTCTGGAGTGATTTTGGGATTCTGAAAATAATTTTAGGGTAGTAGAGGGTTCTAGAAAGGTTTAGGACGATCTATGAATTTTTTAGGAATTTTTAGAATTTTTTTTGAAATTTTCTAGGATTTTTTAAATTTTTGAAAAACATTTGAATTTTTCGACGAAAGTTGAAGTTTCTGACCAGATTCCGATGAAATTTTCAGGATTCGACTGGTTTTCTAAAACCGATAGGTTTTTCAATTTTTGGTTGAATTTTTTGATAACTTTTCTAGAAACGGTGAGTTTTTTGGCTCCGTTTGAAGTTTTTGGTGGGAGATCATAGAGAGAAAGCAGAGCTTCTCATGCTAGAGAGAGGAAAGAACAAAGGGGCTTCTAAGAAAAACGTTAAAAAGATTTTATACGCTCCAAAATGATGCCGTTTTGCTCTACCAGGATCCCCACGTCGACTCAAAGATTCGCGTGTAGACCCATGTTCCGACCCGACCCGACCTTACCTTATCGCAAGTTTTTCTTTTTCTATTTTCTTTTTATTTTTTGATTTTTATTTTATTTTATATATTTACTATATTTTATATTCTAATTTTATTTTCTTTTTTTTTCTCTTTTCTGTTTTTATTTATTTTTTTAAAGGAAAAAATAGATATGCATGAGAAAAAGGCATAAAATATAAAAAAAGAAAACAAAAAAGAAAAAAAGGAAAAAAGAGAAGTATAAAATTTTGGTAGACAATAATAATTCAAGGCTTAGATAATTCGAAATCAAAACTGGTGCCATCCTTGGATGAGCGTTATGGGGGTACTACAACATTCTCCAAGTGTAATCGACTTCTGAATCTAACCTCTGTTTTGCAAGCTAGTTTTAATCAGGTGAACAATCACACCTAACAAAAAGGTTGGTGGTGACTCCCTTTCATTCCAAGTCTAGCGGTGGGTCCAGAATCTATTAGTTATGACAGTTTGGTGACTTCGCTAGGGACTATTGAGAGTCAAGCTGATAAAATATTTCTTATTGTCCAAGCCTTGTCTAATAATTCAAAATTGCCTTTTGTCATTACTTATATTTGTCTGCCCTATTCTTTAATACATATATTTTGCCTAAATATATGTTCTTATATTTGTCATTCACTTGCATATGCACAACATAAGCCCTCTACCAGGGCCCAACCTTTAGGAGGGAGTGAAATACCTATGCCCTTATGAGATTTTATGTCTCCACATGGGCTTGCGAAACACTCTCGCTTAGATTGAATCCTTTCCGCTTGAAGCCTGTGATGGGTGAGGATTGGGATGCTTTAGTAGTCTATAATGGACCATGATATGGGGAACAATTTGAGAACCTTTTTAGAAATGGCCTAAATCACATGTAGTCGACTTTAAAAACCCAACTATAGATAAAGCCTTATTTTCCCCTCCCTCTATAGATGATCCAAATTTTAGATCATGTTATCTTCTTAACTACTATGTTTCCTTGTGTTTCTTTATGACTAACCCCTTTTGTCTTCTCTTGTTTCATTTTGCATCAATTCATAAACATGTTCACAAATTGCATAGTATTCTTGTCCTAAAATTATTCCAGCAAAAGTTTTCATGGCAGGTTTGTGCCTCAACTATGCTGTTCAAATGTGATTCTCCCCTAGAGGTGAAGATCGAATCAAAAAAAAGAAAATTAGAAGAAGGGAATTGTTTGCCACCTAACCATGTTTCCACGCTATCAGAAGAAGTCCATTTACTCCTCAAGCACAATAGTTTGAAAGACTTATTAGACATATGGAGCAGAATGACCCTTTTGAAGTAAGAGATATTTCGTGGAAAGTTTAGACATATAGCTTAACTCTTGTCAGTAGAAGTTGACTATTCGCTAATCAGGGCAATGATACAATTTTGGGACCCCTTCTACTAGTGTTTTATCTTTAATGAGATTGATTTAGTGCCAACCATTGAGGAATATTCATCTTTGATGAGTGTGCATCTATTGCATCCAGATAAAATATATATGAAAAAGTACAAATCAGGGAGCCACAGAAAGTTGAGTAAGATGTTAGGGGTAGGAAAGGAGACCATAGATTCCTACATTCAGGAGAAAGGCAATCATAAAGGAATTTCATAGGAGATACTTTGAGATTTCATTGTCAAGCATCTGGATGATTATTAGGGGATGAATGCATTTGCTTTGGCCATATATGGATTAGTCATCTTTCCCAAGGTCTTAGGGCACATTGAAAATAGAAGTGGTGGACTTATTTGAGTAAATTGAAGGAGGTTGTAACCCTTCACCGGTTATCTTAGCAGAAACTATCAGATCTTTGAGTTTTTGTAGGTAGATGGATAAAGCACGCTAATAGGTTGCATACCTTTATTGTATGTATGGATAAAAAGCCATTTTGAATGTAAGAAAAGTGGCTTCACCAAACTTTATCTCCACACTCGAAATCCGATTAGAGAATTTTGCCAAAGCACTTGACCGAATGTAAAAACTCAAAAGGAATGGAAATGTCCACTACAGATACTCACGGCTAGTCAGATAAAATGGTTGGCTCCATGGATGGATAGAGAACCCATGTTATACTAATGTGAAGATGAGATAGGGGTCTTGCTTTTAGGTCTATGGGGGTTAACAAGTTATACTCCCTTAATGGTAAGGAGGTAGCACGGGGCTGAACAATTTATTCTTACGACCCTCAAGGTTGGCCAGTTCGATTGCTCATATGGGGATCCTGGAACCTTCCAGAAGATCGATAGCATGGTTAAGGCTTAGAAAAAGCCCAAGAGGGTAAGCCTAGGGCCATTCACTAATCGAGTAACTCAGAGGTATCTAGTTTGGAAAAGTAACAGAAGTCAAGAGGTTGTATTTAGGCCTCAAGATCATACCTTACCAGTGGATCAAGAGTCTGATAAAAAGCTCTCAGAGCTAGAGCATGAGATAGAGAAAGAGAAACTAAGATAAGAGGTCTCGAAGTTGCAAGAAGAAAAGGATCAATGGCAAAACAAAGTAGACCATGAATTAAAAGAAGAATTACTTATGAAAGGCAATAATAATATATTGCAAAGAATAATCTCATCACATGATTTATTTTGACATAAAATCAAGTATGATTGTAGACAGTGTAAATTTATATTAAAGCCTTTTGACAAATATAAAATGAAAATATTATTATTTAATATAATTTAAGTTAAATTCTGAATCATAGAAGACTATAAAATATCATATAAATGTAAAAAGGTAAATGATTAAATTGAAAATTTAAAAGAAAAGGAATATAATTAATTATTTGAATTTTTTATTTTAAATCAAATTAAATAAAAATTAAATACATGACACATGGCTATTTTATAAGATCATCTATATGTCAATCATATAAACTATCCACATTGAACAATTTCCTTTATTGCCAAAGGCTTTTGATTTTATATATTTATATAAACTATGTAGTTTAAACCAATATCCTCTTAAATTTAAACAAATAAAGTTTTTCATCGAGTCATTGTGGTTTACTAACTTTTTTTGCCATTTTAAAATTAAAAAAAAAAGATATTTTATCTCAATTTAAAATAAATAGGTCATTATCCTTAAATAAATAAAAACTATGAGATAAATAAAGAAATTATGCAAAAATAGATTCAAATGAATTCATAATTTTAGTTTTACAAGGCAATCATTGTTGTATAGGGCTTTCTTAGTATGTGATTAACCTCACTTGAATACACAAGTTTAACATTATATATGAATTCGATTTTCGAATAATCACACAACACGCACATGATTTTTATTTTATTTTTTCTTTTTAGCACACACTTTTTAATAATTTTCCATTTTTCAATGTTTTATCAAGATTGTAGTTAAGTTAAGGTATGTCAATAATTTTTTATGATTTAATTTAGTCTTCATTATTATTGTTTATTTAATTTTTTTTCTTGTCTCACATTTATAAAACATGGTCATCAAGATCACAACTTAGTACGGGCATGTTAATAACTTTAATGATTTAATTTCATATTATTTTATTTTTAATTAAATTTCTTTTGACACATATTAATCATTTTTATTTTTTAGAGTTAATCAAGATCGCAAATTATTAAAAGTAAGTCAATACATTTTTATGATTTAATTTCATAAACTAGTCTTAGCCATTGAATTTTACTGCCACCTAATGTTAATAATGTATATTGGCAAAACATGGGGCAAAATCTAATTAATTAATTAATTAATTTGCATGTCTTACTACTTTCAAGATTTTCAAGGCCTGTTGAAGATTATTTTCATGAATGCATGAATATTTCATTTATTTTTTGAGGGTTTTGATGTTTTGTTGTTATTTGTGTTTTTTATTTTATTATTTATTTTTAGTTATTTCGTATCTTTTTTCTCAATTTTTTATTTTTTTATATTAAATAAATATATAAAAGTCAAAATCTTTGACAAAAAAAAATGTAGTAGTCATTATATCGAGGTTTTGTTCTTTTTTATTAATTTCATCTCTTTTTGGCTCGATAACATTGTTTATCATATATTTTGAAAATTTTCAGGTTTTTAAAAACTTTTAATTTCTTTATGACTTGATATCTTTAATATATATATATATTATATACACTGATAATAATAGTAATTTATTAATATTAATTTATGTATCTACATGCATACTTAAATAGATAAATCTAGTCCATATAAATAATATCAAATTTATAAAATAAAATTGATCTTAATTATTTTTTGTATGAGACTCACATTAAAGTCAGGAGTTAAAGTTTGTAAACACAGAAAATATCTAATTATTTTAAGATATTTAACACTTTTTGCAAGCAAAAGTTAAATTGATTTTGAAAATTGAATTATCAAATATATTGGAAAACTTTAATCATTGAAAATTAAATTAAAGACACCCTAAGTGAAAGATGAAAAAGAATAGCATATATCAAACAAAGAAGAGAAAACAAATCATAATAAGAATGAAATAAAAGAAAACAATTTCTCCCAATTTATGAGCATAAAAAGAAACAGAGTACCAGAAATAAAAAAGCCAATATCAGTAGTGAAAGAAGTAAAGGTATAGCGTTAATGAAACGGAAAAGAAAAACTAAAATCATGAAAAGCATGAAAAAGAAATAGAGTACCGTAATTAAATTACCTTATAGCCACCTTTAGTTGAGCTCCTAGGTAGGCTGTTGCTTCTGCAAGAGCTTGAATAGAAATAAACCACATTTATGAGTCTAGCTGTGGTGTCACTTTCATGATGGGTTCCACAGGTTTGATTACAAATAGCCGTCAACGTTGATTTTTTTGGCTTAATAGTTTGTTTCACACGACAAGAGGTAGAATTCACTACCAATGACAAAATAGAACAGCAAACTTTCATAGGCTTCTAGCTGTAAACAACAAAATACTAATCCGTCATTTGCTGTCAGTTAACCAATCATCAATTGCCTCGCCATACGAAACAAATTTCTTCGTACGTGTTGAAAATATTGTCACAGATCTTTTTCTTTATTACTTTTCCCATTTTTTTAATATAATTATTTTTACAAAATATCAAACTTTTGAGGTGAATTTTCCACAAAACAAATAGAAAACAACTACAAAAACAAAAAATAATTTCCAAACCATCCCTTCTGATGATTAGTTCACATCGATTGACAGTCGCTTTTATTTATATAAATTCATATTTAACTTAAAAAATATTACCTATCTTAATTTAAAAATTTTATGATTTTATCTAATAAAAAATATTTTATAAATTTAAATTTAAATTTTTACATATTTATCATATTATATTCATATAATTTTTCAATATAAAATTTAACGCTTTACAAATTCATCATCAACACTAGTATTTCCAACTTAAAAAACTTGGCCTACTTGTTCAGTTAAGTCCCTGCATAAAAGATGGTCTTGCTCGGATTAACATGATTTCTAATTCTAAGCTCCATGTTGTTGACGCTTTTGGAACACATTCTTCATTTTCTTATTACTACTTGTCAAAAATATATTTTCATCGTGTAATAGTCAACATTCGTAAGAGAGATTTCCACATTCGTGATATTTTTTAAGGTTGCATCATTTTAACACAACGAAGAATCTGAGTTTGGATAGTGAAATAGAGGTATGCCTAGTTTCTTGATAAAAAATATAGACTCCTGGAAAAAAAAATTTTGAAATTTACACATGAATTTTCAGCTATAACTGATTGTAACAACAATTTTAAAAATAGAAATAGACTTTAAATTAAGAACCCCTTTTAATAAATTTCCAGCAATTTCAGTTCAAATCGCATATTACATTGGTTTTTCAGTTCGTAATCCTGCCTCATGGCAATTGCAGGATCAAAATATTCATGCATTTTGAGCTTTAAGATACTAAAAAACTAAAGCATCTAAATAATAAGTTTGCTGATCCAGATTAATGCATTTCAATAGAACTCTTTTTCCCAACTTGTACTTTAACGAATGTTACACTTACTGCTAGAAACCTTCTCTAGATTTTTTTTTTTTTTTTTGCTGCTCGTAACTCTTTCAAATCCATAACCATCGTTTTACTCATTCCTCCCCTAACCCCAATCCTCCAAGTATGCCCAAATTTTGTTCACAATGTTCTTTGCAACTTCACCAAATATTTTTGAAATTAAGCATCTTTACTTTAAAAAAATATGTTTGAGCAAAGGAAATACAATCAACAACTTTGCAGCAGAACTAAGGGTAAAAAGAATCTGGCTGACAATCAAATAGAGAGCATTTAGTTTTCGAAGATTAATACCGAGAAATTCTTGATATGTTTTTGTAACAGACATCAAACAAAGCACATAGCCAATAAATATTACACTAGAAAAAAGAAGTAATTCTAAAGTTGGTGAAGATGATTTGAGCGAATTGAGAGGAACACTGGTGTTCACCAGAGGAGTGAAATTTACTATTCTACTTCATTCCAGAGTGAGCATTTGCCATTTCTAATCCTGGAGCAGGTTATGTACCTAAGAAAAGATAATAACACAAAAAACATTAATTAGAATTATATATAATGACAGTATAAAGCAAGAAAAAGAAAACATTAACCCTCGAGTTTGTTTTTGAAGAAATTATACCTAGCTTAATGCATAGTTCTTCAAAATCACGATGAAAATCAAGACAACCTATCATCTTTATTTGCAGAGTGTGCTTTACTTGTTTATATGAATTTCAATAAAGCATTATATATCTGTAAAGATTTTGAATTTGAATAAAGCATTTTAAGGAATTGCCATAAATAACTTGATGAAAACTTTTGTGAAAAAAGAATTAGTTTTATCAAGATGATTCAGAAAAGAATCAATCCAAATATGAGCAATTGAAGAATTTGACCTAAATTTATTCATCCTTACCTAAATTCTCACGAATCTTATAAACATCAACAAGAAGGGCAGAAACATATTAGACTTGAAAAGAACATGCATCAAGGGAGTTATAAACATCAAAGTGTGTGAGCTGTTGCTATTGCTGCTGCTGCCGTATAATCAAAAAAAATAATCCTTGGTGTGCTGAAAGATCTCAAAGAAAGCTGGAAAGGTCAAGCATGAGATTAACATATAAGAAAGTGAAAATAGAAAAGGATAAAGAAAAAAGAAAGAATGAAAAGGAAATGTTAGAAATAAGCTACCATTGCGGTCGGGCATTTGATCAAAGAAAAAAGTGACCGCTGTAGTGGTCAAGCATTTCAACGAACATGCAACTACATGTCAAATGTAGGGATCCAACAAAGACTCGGCATTTGGATGGTGTCACTCCACCGATTCCCAACACTCCTTTGGGTGTGCTTCAATAATTGTAAGAGAAGGAGAAAGAGATGGTTGGCCATCATCTTGCAACGGAAGATTCAGAGGTATCCTCTTTAATTTTGGACAATCACGTATAACAATCTCCTCAATAGAATCACAAGCCACTACTCCATTTGCACCACAAATGCTCTTCAATTTTGGTAGATCCCACAATTCCAATTTCTTTAATCTTGGAAGAGTAAGCTTGATAGCAACTCCATTTCCTTCTCCCTCCAACTCTGACTCTGACTCTGATGCTATTATTTCTTCCATATCGCAGCAATCCTCAACACGTAAAGTATTCAAATTTTGGAGGTTGTGCAGCACCCAATTGGACGAGAACAACTTCTTTATTTTTTTACAGGTAATTATCACAATCCGAGAAAGAAATGAAAAATTATTATGTGGCACTGGGATAAACCACGAGAAAAATGACTCTTCTTCACACAAATCCACAGTGCATTCCACAATAGTCAAAACCTCAACATCAGATAGGATCTTAATACCATTTGTACAGATCATGTCACAACCTTTTAATTCAATGTATTTTTTCGAATTATTGTCTAAATCATCCCACATTAATCGATCACCCACTAAAATGAAGTATTGACGAGGCCATCTTTCTCGAGCATGCAAAGCTTGGGCATAACTGTTCCACTCATTCCAGTCAAACAAACACCCTTCAAAGATTTCCAACTTCCTCATTAATCCACTTATTTCCTCTTCGCTAACGAATAATTTATAATCAAATCCAAGTATTGAGAAGTGCTGAAGGGATGTGAAGTTTGCCAACATTCCATCGGCCATCTCTGTTATTTTCGTGTAACTCAAATCAAGATATTTGAGATTTACCAACCTTTCCATCTCATGAGGTATATCCTTGATTTTTGTTCCTCTAAGGTCTAACTTCCTTAAAGCTTGAAGTTTTGAAAAAGATGGCACCTTCTCTAATTGTTCACACCAACCAAGCAATAATGTAGTGAGAGTTTCCAAATTAGAGATGGAATTTGGTAAATTCTTAATAAGATTTTCAGAAAGATCAAGAACCTTAAGTCCATGCATTTGCTCAAAGAAACACTCTGGAATGCTCTCTATCTTGCATCGGCACATCAATAATGTTGTGAGCTTTTGGCATTTTGGGGAAGGCATTTGGGATGGAATTTGTAATTCCAAATTACACATCAATGAAGCTTTCTCCAAATCTTCGTTCCAATCTCGCACATCAGGTATCCTTTTCAATAGCATGCCAGCTCTCACCAAGAATCGTGGTCTTGCACTTGTGATGCGCAATGCCATGTCCCGTACAACATCATGCAGCTTCACTTGACCTTTATCTATATTACTGTTTTCTATCATACAACTTTCTATCAAACAACTGTTTTTGAGTTTATTCAGTATGGTATGCCCCTTGTCAATCTCCGTTTGTATGCTATCCATTTCTTCCACAAGCCCTTCAGCAATCCACAGATTTATAAGCTTATCTGTATTTATTTCCCAATCTTCAGGATATAACGCACAGCATAGGAAGCAATGCTTCACTTTTTCATCTTGTAAACGATCATAGCTGAACTGAAGTTGTTGAAATACCTTCTCTTCCATCCCATTCACGCTTTTCACTTGTCTGTTTAATTCAAAGAGTGCATTCCTCCACTCATGAATGTCACGTACACCCTTCATACTGCTTGCTATTGTAACAATAGCCAAAGGTAAACCGGCACATTCTTCAGCAACAGATTTCACAAGGGGTAATAGATCTTGATGATTCAAAACATCTCGACCTACTTTTTCCGTGAACAACCTCCATGCATCTGGTTTTGAAAGAGTCGGCACTTTAACTTCTCGGCAATCCAAATAGTGACACACATCTAATAACCGAGTTGTTACCAATAATTTGCTCCCATTAGAAGGCTCGGGGATGCCTACTTCTTCAAGAGAAAGTTTGTCCCACAGATCATCAAGGATTAACACATACTTGCCTTTACGAGCCAACATTTCGTATATCATCCCTGCTCTTATTGTTTCATCTTCATCTTCGTGAAGGGTTACATTCATTGCACGTGCAATCCTATTTTGTAGTTTAATGATGTTCATCTCCTTTGATACAGTGATCCAGATCACAATGTCAAAATTTTCAGTCTCTTTCAATAGCTGGTTGTGTACGAGCTTCATGATGGTTGTTTTCCCTATTCCTCCCATCCCCCAAACTCCAATCTTTTGAATGTCATCATTCATCAAGTAGGCCCAAATTTCTTCCATACAAGTTTTTGCAGCTCCACCGAATAAAGTTGTGGTTGATAGAGCTTGTCCAATCCACCCAGGGTTGTTAACTACCAAACTGTCGCGAAACCTACCCCGCTGAAAAAGTTCATCAACTTCTTGTATCTTCTTCAAAACATCTCCTTTGAGGAATCCACGTGAGACAAAACTACTTTCTCCAATTTTTTGTTCAAGGTCTTGGATTTTGCTGTTTACTGTTTCAACATTCCCGAGCCATAACTCAACTTCTTTCTTTAGTTTTTTTCTCGGATGCAGCTCTGTGCTTGTTCTTGACTCTGTGTCTCCTTTTAGAGCATTTAGTTCCACCTGTTTTCTCTTTAGGTCTTTCATTTTCTCATCAAGCTTTGTTGGAGTGTCCCACGATTTATCAAATTTAGCAAGGAGAAAATCCATGGCTGTAAAGTCCCTACATAAATAAGAACAAATATGTATATCATAAACTATGTTGATGGACTTTATAACCATAACCATGTAAATATATGGATGCAGTAAATATCTAAGAAGAATTACTTTATTAGAAAATTTTGGTTATTAAGGATGGAAATCAATATTATATATTGCTTTAACCCTCTGGAGATGGTGTCTTTCAAAAGCTTTGCAGCCTCTACATTTTTGTCGATGAATGCTACTATCCCAAATTATAACAATTAAAACACACCTCTCAAGAGCTAAAGGTTAGTTACTTGTAAGGCTTGGGATTGTCAAATGTTATGTAATTTGCTTTATTCTTTGCCTTATTCACTTAATGAAGGAAATTGATGAGATCAATCAAACTATGAAGAATTACTAATATAAGAATTACCAAACAATCGTTAGGAAGGACCTGAAAATATATAAAAAAACCCAATTGGAGTGAGGTCAAACCTAAGCTTATTAGGTTTTATACATTTTCAATGCAATAATCACAAACTTTTATATATACAAACTTTTATTAAACTAAACTTTCCTTAAGTTAGAAATTTTTTTATTAAATTAAATATTGAAAGATTGAAATTTGTTGAAAAAAATGACAGAGATGATACTCAATAGGATAGAAGAATGAAATAATTTGTTGGTTGGTTGCTTCCAACTTTCCATCTTTTGGGTGTATGTCAAATGTTTTTTTGTTGCTTGTTGACGATCCAATATGATAACATGGTGAAAAAAGAATATTTTCTTTTGGGATGAGAGGGAGAGTATATAAAAATAAAGTGAATATGGTAGAAATTTTAATTTTTTTATTTAATTTGCTTCTAAAAATTAAAAAATGATGTGGCAAAACTTTAAATATTGGTAAAAATAATAGAGATATCCACTATTTTCTAAGTAGTGAAAAAAAATCCCCTCTTTTTCATGTTTATTTCAGATAAAAATATCAATTTTTTATTATTTTCTTATTAATCATATTGAAGTGTTATTAAAGTAAGTCCATAAGTAATTAATTTTTATTAAATTAAACATTAGCTACTTTTTATTTTTTGAAATATATAAAAAAATAACTGAATAACAAAAAATAAATTAAAACATAAAGTTGAATCAAACCCATGTATAATGAAACTTAAACCTATAACTTCAAGGTTCTAAGACCTTTCTTTGCCACTAAGTCAAGTTCTCATTAGCAAACATCAGTTACTTTTAATCAGTATTTTTTTTTAACATTGAAATTAATATGAACTGAGAAAAGATAATATAGTAAAATCTTAACCATCGATGCTCTACCTTTTTCATGTTTATTATTTTAGATTAAAATATTGAGTCATTTTTATTTGTTTTCTTATTAAATTAAATTAAAAGAAAAGCAATATAATTAATTATTTGAATTTTTTATTTTAAATCAAATTAAATAAAAAATTAAATGCATGACACATGGCTATTTTTTAAGATCATCTATATGTCAATTATATAAACTATCCACATTGAACAATTTCCATTTTTGCCAAAGGCTTTGGATTTTACATATTTATATAAGATATGTAGTTTAAATCAATATCCTCTTCAAGTTAAACAAATAAAGTTTGTCTTCGAGTCATTGTGGTTTACTAACTTTTTTGCTTTTTTAAAATAAAAGAAAAGGATATTTTATCTCAATTTAAAATAGATAGGTCATTATCCTTAAATGAATAAAAATTATGAGATAAAGAAAGAAATTATGCAAAAATAGATTCAAATGAATTCATAATTTTAGTTTTACAAGGCAATCATTGTTGTCTAGGGCTTTCTTACTATGTGATTAACCTCACTTGAATATACAAGTTAAATATTATATATGAATTCGATTTTCGAATAATCACACAACTTGCACGTGATTTTTATTCAAATCTTTCTTTTTAGCACACATATCTTAATAATTTTCCATTTTTCAATGTTTTATCAAGATTGTAGTTAAGGTATGTCAATAAATTTTTATGATTTAATTTAGTTTTCATTATTATTGTTTATTTAATTCTTTTTTTTTTCTTGTCCCACATTTATAAAACATGGTCATCAAGATTACAACTTAGTCAGGGCATGTTAATAATTTTAATGATTTAACTTCATATTCTTTTATTTTTAATTAAATTTCTTTTGACACATTAATTATTCTCATTTTTTAGAGTTTTAATCAAGATTGCAGATTATTAAAAGTAAGTCAATACATTTTTTATGATTTAATTTCATAAACTAGTCTTAGCCATTGAATTTTACTGCCACCAAACGTTAATAATGTATATTGGCATAACATGGGACAAAATCTAATTAATTAATTAATTAACTTGCATCTCTTGCTCTTTTCAAGATTTTCAAGCCTATTGAATATTATATTCATGAATGCATGAATATTGCATTCATTTTTTTTTGAGGTTTTGATGTTTTGTTGTGATTTGTGTTTTTTATTTTATTATTTATTTTTATTTATTTTGATGTGATATGTATGTTTTTCTTAATTTTTTATTTTTATTTATTTTATATAAATATATAAAAGTCAAAACTTTTGACAAAAAAAAATCTGATAGTCATTATATCAAGATTTTGTTCTTTTTGGTTAATTTCATCTCTTTTTAGCTCAATAACATTGTTTATCATATATTTTGAATTTTGTCAAGTTTTTAAAAGCTTTAATTTATTTATGACTTGATATCTTTAATATATATATTATATACATTGATAATAATAGTAATTTATTAATATTAATTTATGTATCTACATGCATATTTAAATAGATAAATCTAGTCCATATAAATTAATATCAATTTTGTAAAATATAATTGATTTTATTCTTTGTATGAGACCCAAATTAAAGTCAGGAGGTAAAGTTTGTAAACACAAATAATATCTAATTATTTTAAGATATTTAACACTTTAAAAAAAAGTCAAAAGTTAAATTGCTTTTGAAAATTGAATTATCAAATATATTGGAAAACTTTAATCGTTGAAAATTAAATTAAAGACACCCTAGGTGCTCATCTTGCTAGTATAATAAGGAACTAAAACAAAATAATTTTTTTTAATTATTGTAATAATTATTTACACAATATGCTTTTGCATGTTAAATCATCTATGTGCAATATTACAATACATGCCTAGAAAAATTTATTCTAAAACAAAATTTGTATAATCAACATGATTAGTGAAAGATGAAAAGGAATAGCATAAATCAAACAGAGAAAGAGAAAACAAATCATAATAAGAATGAAATAAAAGAAAACAATTTCTCCCAATTTATAAGCATAAAAAGAAACAAAATACCAGAAGTAAAATTATCAACCTGTCTAGATGATGCTTCTGTAACACCCTTGAGTAGACTAAAATGCAGGGAAGAAAATACCTAAAATATAACAAGAAGCAAAATATATAATAAGTTTTGGGATATTGTCAAGTGTTGTGTAAGTTTGCATTTTTTTTCTTTTCTTTATTTAATGAAGAAAGGGAATTGAGATCAATTAATTAAACTATCAATAATTAAACCCTAAAAGCTTAAAGTTAAAATGAAAATCTTAAACAAATAATTGAAAAAAAGCCAACATCAGTAGTGAAAGAGGAAAAGGTGTAGCGTTAATGAAACAGAAAGGAAAAAACAAAATCATGAAAAGCATGAAAAAGAAATAGAGTACCGTACATTAAATTACCTTATAACTACCTTTAATTGAGCTCCTAGATAGGCTGTTGCTTCTGCAAGAGCTTGAATGGAAATGAACTAAATTTATGAGTGTATTGCTGTGGTTATGGTGTCACTTTCATGATGGGTTCCACAGGTTTGATTACAAATAGTTGTCAACGTTGATTTTTTTTTTTGGCTTAATAATTTGTTTCACACGACAACAGGTGGAATTAATCACTACCAATGACAAATAGAACAACAAATTTTCATAGAATTTTTGCTGTAAACAACAAAATACTAATCTGTCATTTGACGTCAGTTAACCAATCATCAATTCCCTCGTCATTTGAAACAAATTTCTTCTTACGTGTTGAAAATATTGTCACAGATCTTTTTCTTTAATAGCTGAACTGAAGTTGTTGAAATACCTTCTCTTCTATCACATTCACACTCTTTACATGTCTTTTTAATTCATGGAGCGCATTCCTCCACTCGTGAAGGTTTCGTGCACCCTTCATACTGCTTGCTATTGTAACAATAGCTAAGGGCAAACCGGCACATTCTTCAGCAACAGATTTCACAAAGGGTAATAGATCTAGATGATTAAAAACATCTTGACCTATTTTTTCCAAGAACAACCTCCATGCATCTGGTTTTGAAAGAGTCGGCACTCTAACTTCTCGACAATCCAAATAGTGACACACATCTAACAACCGAGTTGTTACCAATAATTTGCTCCCATTAGAAGGCTCGGGGATGCCTACTTCTTCTGGAGAAAGTTTATCCCACAAATCATCTAAGATAAGGATTCAAATAGTGGTTGGATAGCAGTGTCACGGCCGTTATTTCACGGTCGCGCCACTATCCGCCACCGCTATTGAAGAAAAAACGGGGGAGAATTTGAATCTCGTCTATAACGGATGAATCGCGATCGTGAATTGCGGTATAATAGTGAATAGCGGTAATAGCGGTCCGCTATTGCCCGCTATTGCCGCTATTCCTATTTCATTCAAAAATTCAAAAAAAAAATCATTTGATTTTGTTTAAAAACTTAAAATAAAAACAACAAGAAAGAAAATAAACATCAATTTATAAATTCAGAAAAAAAAAACCCACAAAACATAAACTTTCAAAAAAATCAATTCTTTCAAGTTCAACTTCAATCAAAATCAAGTATATGTAGTTTAAAGTAAACAATTAATTCAACACTCAAATTATCTTTTTTTTTAATTTTCAAATTTGCCATGATTTTGTGTGTTTGGGATTAGATTGGGCTATGTTACATTGATAGAAGGAGGCAAGAGTTGCTGGGACTTAAAATAAGAGATAAGAGATG